TCCCACGTCAGTGCTATTTTTTCTGCCTGGAACTGGTTTCTCCCAGAAATCTGCTGTTTCAGATAGTTCAAGGCTCAGCTGTAAAGCCACTTCCTCAGATGGAACTTCTCTGACCACTTGCTTGTTGGAAATAGCCTCCCCATATTTCAGTCTTTCTTTTATCCCTTAATGTAATTTCTTTTCTTTCAAGGCTTTATTACAGATGCTGGCTTCCTGTTGCAGCACAGAATCCACCTCCATACTGTGGCCTGCAAGACACTAAGTGACCTGGTTCCCGCCCCTGTCTCTGGGGGATGAAATCCTCCACTCCCTAGGGGCAATCTCCCTTTGCTTCCGCACCCCTGCTGGCTCCCCTCCACCTACACCAACTTCCCTGTATTTGCAGAACACTCTAAGCATGCCTCTACCTCAGGATCTTTGCACTCGTATGCCGTCTCCCTGGAATGCCATTCTTCCATTCTTCCATATAGCTTCCTAGTGTGCTCTCTGCTCAAATGTCATGTAACCAGAAACTTTCTTTGACCATCGTATACAAAACAGCAAGTCCTCATCATTTAGTATCCCCCTTACTTGATTTATTTTTCATGGAATTTATAACTACCTGGTTTATGTATACATACATATTTATTTGCTATGTGTTATCTGCCTCTCATGGCTAAGCTGTCAGCCTAGTAAGTGCAGGGACTTTGTTGTGTTCACTATTGTCACCTGTACCAGTGCTGGCTGAGAATGGCTGGGTACAGGGAGGCACTGGGTTTGGGGTGGGGGTGCTGGCAGCTTGGCTGTTGTTCCCTGTCTGTCCCTATCCCCTCTGTGTAAGCTCTGTATGGGTTGTGCCCAAGAGGCAGTGCCCAGGGCATAATACGTGCTCAGGAGTGGTTGTAGAATGAATCAATGAATAATTGAGAGACGACTTTAGATATTTAAAAAGGATTTTGCAGGTTTTAAGAGGAGCTTTCCATGTTCCAAAACCCAAATGCAGAGTAAGTGGTAAGATTTGGGGTAGGAGGGTAAGTAATTTGGAGGTTCTTACTGACATCTTTACATTTGCCTTTGACTAGAAAACACATTCTGATGGCTTCCTATTGTTCTTGTGAGAATGATACTGTAACACTTTAACATGGCGTCTACCCCCTCTTCATCCCCCTGCCCCTCACTCTGGGCCTCAGCCACAGCCCTTCCTTCAGTTCCTCCTACCCTACATTACCTCCCGCCTCGGGACCTTTGCCCGAGCTTCCTCCTCTGCCTGGACCACACTCCTGAGCCTCCCCCCTTCCCGTGGCTAACTCATCCTCACCCTGCCGCCTCAGCTGACGCCTCCCTTCCCTAGTGATGGTCTCCCGTGCACACCACTGATCAAAGTTGTGATTTGACATGTGTTTGTGTAATTATTTAGTATAGGCTTCCATGAAGGGAGAACAGTGGCTGCCTTTGCCCCCACTCTTCTATCTCCTGGAACCTAGCACTGCCTGGCACGGAATAGGCTATTAATAGAGATTTGTTGAATGAAAACATTAATTAATGAATGAAACAAAAGCTACTAACTTTTCGGTAGAGCCCCAATTTCAGGATAAAGCACTGAAGGTAATTGTTAAACAAAAGGCAAAGTAACACATTAAGCTCTTAGCCCCTTGGACTGTCAGACTATGAAAGATGCCATGGTGTACAGCACATGGGATGTGGGGCAGGTAGATTTCTGGGGGCAGAGAAAGGAGAGACAAGCCTCAGAACTGCCAAGACCTGCCACTCTGTCCTGAGTAGGCTTCCCTGTTGTGTGAAAGTATAACAGGACCAAACCGTCAATCCAGTAATAGTTCTCGTGCTTGGATTTTTTTTCTTTTTTTCTTTTAACAATTTTATGTGGAATTTTCTTTGTGATTTTCTATAAGACTCAAAGGATAGAAACAAGACTAGAAAACATCATTGAAATCGATTCAACATGAGGTGACTTGCCAGCAGTCAGCAGTGTGCCACTGTGAGCTGTCTGGGCTCGGGTGGTTACGGGGCAGAAGGGTCTCCAGAGGCCAAGGCAGCCCTCCTTGCTGGGGTTGGTGTGGAGGGGAGTCAACCTCCAGGTACGGGATGAAGGGCACTGGTCTGGTAACCTGTAATGGGTCTTTCCACTTGGAACTTCTGAGTTTATGCCCAAGCTTTCTGTTACTCAAAGCTCACTCCTGTCCTTACTTAACCTTTTTTGGAAAGACTAAAATCAGTGTTTGCCAATCCTGCGCTCATGGGAATCACATGGGGGATTTAAAAATTCTGAGGCGTAGGCCCTGCCTGTGACCAGTTAAATTAGAATATCTGGGGTAAGGTCCCAGTTACCATATTTTTTAAAGCTCCCTGGATAATTCCATGGGTTGACAGCCATTGCAAGAAATCTGGCACAATAGGCTGCTTTCCTTTCTCTTTCTTCCCTCTTGCTCCTTCCAGTTCTCAGTTGGGCTAAAGGATGACGGTGTGTGTAGTGGGCAAGCTTCTGGGGTGGCGGCCAGCAGTCCGCCTCCTGGTGTTCCTGCCCTTGGGTAACCCCTGCCCCTGGAGTGTGGGCTGGACTTGCACTCAGATCAGCTGAGCCATCCACAGGACCACAGCCAGCACAGTGGGAAGGTGGGCGAAGGCGAAATGAAAAGCCTTGCATAATCCGCTGTCAGGGTGCTCAGCCTGTGGCTATCAGTGACCCTCCCCTCTCAGGACTCCCTCCTCACTCTCCCCAACTCTAACCACCGCCCAGTGGGGATGGTTAGGATGCTTTAAGCATCCTTGATAGACCCTTCCTTCAAGTCCTCTGGTTCTGCTCTCCTTCCTCTTCACCATATCTTGGCTGCCTGTTTTGAACTGGAGCCGCACAGCTAGAGAAAAATCCTCCTTGCAAAGTACAGCCAGCCAGAACAATGCTCTGCAGTGCGGCCCTAAGAAGCTGCTTATCTAGATCATTATTGTATTCATTACTATGAGCTCGAGCACCGAGGCCAAGGTCTTGTCGGAAGCCCTGGCTCTGGTGGTGGGCTGCTCTAGAAGAGCCAGGGCGTCGTCTCTAAGAGCGGAGATCAAACTGAGGCTTCCTGACCACTGAGACTCTTGGCATTTCTTTAGGGAAATTTGCATTGCCAGGCCAGTTGGTTCCTGTTCCCTCCAATTTCCCTGAGCATCAGAGGAGCTGCTTTGGGGGTTCTCTTCCATGCTCCTGGGTCCCCCGCCCCCAGAGGGGCTGGCAGCCCTTTTATTGGTTTGGCTCACCACTTAGATCATTGAAGCAATTTCAGATCCAACTGGGCAACACTCAGCATTTCATTTATGTCTTGGCAAGGTTACCATGTTATTACTTAACCATGCTGCTGCTGCTCAATAAGTGGGAACTGATTGAAATAACCACAGGAGTTTCTGGATTCCCCTAATTTTAGCACCGAGTTAAAGCTCACTCCCACAGTTGCAAGTTAAAATAGGCTGCCAGCCCACAGAAATGCCCACCCACCACACCTAATTGTCACACCACTGACGCCTGTCATGGAGGGAGACGTGGAAGGCTATAGAACATTCTTAGAAGTAAGGTTCTTCTCGTTGGCAGATGCCTGAGGTCATTTTGTCCAGGCCCAATTTCCTTCAGACCCTCTGCCTGTGGGAATTTGCATGACTGCTCTAAAGCAGTCTTGTTTGCTTCCCTGATACGTTTAACAGGCGACCCAAGCAGAGAGGACACGTTAGAGTAACGGAAGAGAACAGAAACTTCTCTTTGGAGGCACCTCTTCAAGTGACTCATTCCTGGAGTCCAGATGTGGGGAGAGCAATGACCTTGAGTAATCAAGGTAATCTGGACAGCAGAAAATGATATGTAAGTCTGGCCAATGTGCTGTCTCTTGGTGTCATAGCAATCACCCACACCCAAATGCCACAACTTGAAAAAAAATTTGGAATAAATGGCTGCTTGTGTAACTCCCCCTAACCCTATCCAATTTTTTTTTTCTTTCTTACTGTTGAGAACTGTTTAACTAGAATTCTGAAGGAATTCTATGCGAAGTTGTTTCTTATCATGTACCCACTGCTGAATATATCTCATCTCTGTGCAATTTTGTTATCTTGCTCCTCTTTTAAGTCATAATCTGCCCTTGATGTTTTAGCACAGCACAGTTGATTAGAATGCCATCAGCAAAATAAAGGAATGTAATGGGGGAATTTTAAAGAAAGAGGAAAGGCTTTCTCATAAGGTATTCCCTGAGAGAACCCTGGGCAGCTCCTGGAGTTCAGTCTTCTTTGCCAGTCTTGATCTTTCACCCCCACTTTCTCCACTGCCACAGCCACCTTCTCCTTCTAGGCATTACAGTCTCATAGCAGGGTCGTGTGGGAGCCTCATGGCACTCATTTTGGTCATTAGTGTCACATTGATCATCTTTAAGGTTATCCTTCTCCATGCCACTTCTCTGCCTAAAAATGTTCAGTGACCTTCTGTTGCCTGCAGATCAAGTCTGGATCTCCTAGGCTTTCAATGAACTAAATGGTTCCTAATGACAACTGCCCTTAGATGCCATCACCCTCTCATGAAAACTCTTTCTAGTCAAACTCACCATTTTCCAGCATACCTATCAAACTTACCTTCTCACCTCTGTCAACCTGTACTCCACAAAGGCCGTGTCTCATGCCCACCTTGCTCAGCCCCATCCCAGCTTCCCATCTGCCCAAGGCTCAGTTCAGCACCTGCTTCCATATGGAGCCTTTCCTAACTATTCCCAGCACACAGGGGCCACCCCACATTTGGATATTCACAAGTACTTTTTGAACAATTATCAATGCTGATGCTTGTTTTTTTCCCATCTAGATACCTTGAGTGTCCTACCCCTTGTAACTAATCTCTAGTTGATTATATCTTCAGAATCATATTTTGAGAATCCAAAATTTCAGATCCAAGAAGAGACAAGGGAGACCCCAGCAAACAAATGGACAATTTTGTCTACAAACAACATGATGCTTTCAATATTAACTGACTTCTCTCTAAAACTTCTCAGAATCCCCACTTTGGGAACTGCTGTGTGACAGAGGTGTGCTGCCATGACGTTGAGATCACTTCACATGGAGTCACAGTCCTTGCCTTTCAGGAACCTGTCATGGTAAGACACAACTTGGGCTGGTTCATTTTTTTCTAAAGCTGCAAGGAGATCAAGTCCATGACCATCCTTATTCACACATTTACAGAATCAGGCCAGGCTCAGAACTAAATGATGAAAATGAAAATTAATCAGGGACTCCCATGGGTCTCACATATGGCAGTTTTGAATCTTTTTTTTTCTCACTATCATAATTGTTTTTCTTACTCATTTTCTTTGGTTGAATACACAACTGTAAAAAAAATGGGGCAGTAGTAGTGGTAATGGAAATGAATAAGCTAAACAGTGCAATATCTACAGAGATAAAATTAGGAAGGAAGGAAACAAAAGCAATTTCAGTATCTGTGTGAGGCTGCATACCTTTCTTTGCCAAGACCCCTGGATCAGGTTGTCTGACCAGGAGGCAGGTGCTTCCTTGACTCACACAGAAAACAAGCTGGGGGCCTCTCGTGCTGTTGAGGTGAGTGATATCTGGCACATAAACACCATGCCCTGCCCCCACTTCTGTTCTTCCCAGAAGAGATAAAAATGATCAAGTAGGAGAGAAGAGTCTGAAGGAAGGCTTTGTGCCTTTCTTAATTCATGGAGATTTAAAGTAAAAACTCTTCTTGACAAACTCTTCTCAATAAAGGGTTATGTTCCCTTTATTGAATTTTGCAGAAAAAACAAACTATAATAGAAAACAAGCAATCAGATAGATTATCATGCCCTGGGACATCACTTAAATTGGTGGAATTTAACCAGTTTAATTCATAGAAACCTTTCCTTTCACACTACTTAGCAAACAGCATTAAGCATGACTCAAGTCAGATTTTATAAACTTGTCCAGCTCCTTTCATTAAGAACTGAAAACTATGTAAGACTCTTGTTCCAGGAAACTGTATTTGACATTTTAATAGTATTGTCTTAGCCAAATCAGGGAATACCTAAGAGTTTAGATCCACAGAAAGTAAATCAAGAATTCATCCAAAATGGAGTGCCTTCTTCTGAGTGATGGGGTGGTTTTTATGTGAGATGTTAATGTAGGTTCTATACTTGACCCGAGTTCCCATTAAAAAAAAAAAAAACTTATCTACTGCTCAAGTTTTTAAATCAAGCAGTGTTATCTAAAGTGCTTTTTAGCAGACACTGTCAGGAAAGGACTGGAGAGTAGTCATTATGACTAATCAGCTATGGAAGTTGGGGTAACCAGTATTGGCAATGAGGGACTTTGGAGCCCCAGGGACCTTTTAGACAACTCAGATTCCTTTAATTGTTTGCAGTGGTCCCCTGAAAGGGACACAGTGAGTTAACGTGCACCAGAACAGATCGAATGTACGGCCAGCTGGCAGTTCACTCTTACACAGGAAGGCTGCTTTTCTTACACACAATTCTTTGTTGTGCTAAAGGCAAATAAATATATAAAAGCCTAAGAGTAAGCCTTCAGTTCTTTATGTCTGGCAAAATTGTATGTATAATGTACCTCGAGGATATATCCACCATGCTTGCTTTGCAGGATTGTTGTGAAAGACTAAGATCATTCTAGAATAACCACCTGGTACCCATCACAGTTGATGAAGAACTTATGCATACATTTCTCAGTTGAACCTCCCGGCCTCCATGGGAGGAAGGGAGGCAGGAAGGCAGATACGATTATCTCTTGAGAGGCTTGTGACCCTGTGGCAGCATACATGTGGCTTCTGCTTCAGGAAGATAGTTTATTATGTTGTATTTGTTAAGTATTTTATATTGTATGAGAATGTTTATTGCAGCAGTGTTTATAATAAGAAACAATTGGAACCTGCCTGCAGGTGGGTTACTAAAGGACTGACAAAACTATGGTACTGACCTAAGTGGACTACGAGACAGCCATTGGGAACTTGGACTTAGAGATATTAGGAGTGAAGCCATTAGTATTGAAGCATATTTGGTATGCATCAATAGTATTCATTAGTATTGAAGCATGAGTGGTAAAGAAAATCATCCATAATATATTTAAGCCAGTAAATAATGTAAGATGAGCCCTTTGTGATAAGAAAAAATGTGTCTGGTGAAATAGAGCCTATCTTTGTGTGCTGAGAATATGTGTGATACTTGTTTCCTTTCTCATGATCATCTATTACTACCCATTAATGTTAGTTGACATTAACAATGTACTACTTAACATTTTCAATCAGATTAACTTTTACAGTAAAAATTCATGAAACAGAGGTACTACTGCACCCTGGGCCTCATGGGTAAAGCAGTCCTCACATGGGGAGGCATCATTCCTGGGCCTGGTGGGGTGGAACCATCCAATCCAACCAGGTGGTGGAAATGCGGAGTATGAATTAAGGCACAGTTACAGCTGTGAAACGCAGAAGGGAGCAAACAAGGGTGACGGGCACCCAGACACCAGGAACAGTGGGAAGCACAGGCACCCCCATGGTGAGGAGACAATAGGAGGAAATGCCAGAGCTTAGGGCTGACGCCGTGGAGGAGGGGCCCCTTGGTAGAAGCTGCCACAGCTGCAGCCCAGGGCAGACAGTGAAGCAGGGGAGAGATGCTCTGACCCTTCTCCTCTTACCTTCTTTTTCCTGCTGGTGTCTCCTGCTGACCAAGCCCAGCCAGAAGCCCCCTGAGGGAGCTGGGCTCCACAGCCCACACAGCCTCCCAGTGCACAGAACAGGCTGAGAAAGGCAGGAAATGGATCTGAGGAGGAGGGACGTGCAGCAAACAAAAGGAGTGGAGCCCCACTGTCAGGCCCCCTGAGAAAAGGGGTGTCCCTTAGGAAACTGAACAGAAAGGAAACCTGCTGGGGCAATACACCAGAGTGATCTGGTTTTCCTGCCTGTGCTCAGAGCCTCAGTAGCCCAGGGATGGAATCACAGATTGCACCATGGCCCAAAGTGAGTGCAGGAAATCTTTGTGGAAAGCTATACAGAGATAAAATTGTGCCATCCTGGATATGGTTATCATCCTGCTGCCAGATGGGAAAGGTGACTGTGAAGGAATGGAAGACCCATCACCCCAAATCTCCCTAGCTGTTTCCTGCTGCCCCATCTCTACTCCAAAGCCCCTTTCATTTCAGGGTCCTCATCACCAGCCCCACGTGAGAGCAGAGCAAGAGTAGGAGTGGCAGTGCACATGTATGAGCATTTACTGGGTGACTGGCACCATGTGCCCTAAGCACCAATGTGGTCACCTCATTTAGGCATTTAGGTCTCTCAGCCACTCTGTGAGGGCGGTCGTGGTATTCACCGCTCTGCTGAGCAGCTAAGGGCATGCACTATGGAGCCAGACCACAAGCATTTGAGTGCTGCCTCTTCCATTTCCCAGCAGTGTTCACAGTTTTCTCACCCTTAAAATGTGGACAAAGGCAGTGTCTACCCCATGGGATCATTATGAGGTGTAAATGAATAAACATGAGTAAAGCGTTCAGAACTGGGCTTGGCACATAGCAGGCAGTCAATAAATGTTTGTTGTTATCTTCCCTGGTTCCCGCATTAGGCAACTGAGGGTCACAGAACTGATAAGCAGCAGAGATGGCCTCTACCCAGGCATGGGGTTCCAGTATGATACAAAAGGCCCACCCTTTCCCTCCCTGCTACTTTGAAGCAGAGGGAGTCAGATCACCTTCTCGGGGTTAAAGTGGATCCACTTGCTCTACCTGCCTGAGATGCAGAACAAAATCCTCCCATTTTGGAACACCCAACATGATATTGTGCAGGTGATGATCTGCAGAAATGCCATCCATCCTTTTACTCTCACTTCCTCTGGGGTCCTGAAGGTAGGTTAGATCCCCGCAGCAGGCAGCTGGTGGATAAGGGCAGGTAAATAGCTTCCCCTTAGTCTCCTATTCCTTGAGATCAGACAGAATGGAGAGTAGAGCTGTGGGAATTTGGGAGCCCAGGTCAGCCAGGTGGGTCCTCAGTTCCCAGCACATGCACTGTGGAGAGCATGTCAAATAGGTGCTCCAGCTCGGCTGCCTGCTCTGGGCTGAAGGAGAGGATGGCGCTGACTCCCTCCCTGCAGGCAGGGTGGCCAACACTGGCATCATCAGTCTATCTGCTAACCTGAAAAGGGCCTGGAGCGGTCACAGGGCAAGGTACTGAGGAAAGGCCAAACACAACGTTGAGGTAACTGACAGAGCTCAGACTGGAATGTGTGAATTCTGTAAGCTGGCATGACCCCATCTGCTCTTTAGTTCATTTCTTGGAAGCTAGCTTACCTGCAAAGCTTTCTTGGCTTCCTCTTAGGCAGCAACTTTATAGCTAGGTTTTTCATCAGTCTCATCTTTCATTTTACAGTGAAATATGATCAGTTACTACCTTCAACACAACATGTTGAAAGCTGTGCCACCAGTGAGTCAAAAGGCCCCAGTGTAATGTCCATGGCGTGTGAAAACACAACAATCAAATGGCCATTCCACAAACCTCTTTTTCTTTTATTCTTTTTTGCTTTTGGCCTGGTGTTCAATGGACATAGAAATAATATGAATGCAATAACACATCGTCAGTTTTACAAATGCCTAGTAACCAAAGTCAAAAGAGATTACCTAGTGTGCACTAAAACAGACTGTCATCCAATAGCGTCATGAGCAACTGAGAAGTATGTAGTTTAAGTTTGCACAATGTCATTGATGCTTCATTGTCTTACTTTGTTTATCTTCATAAAGTTGTTTTCAGGAAAGGGTCTTTAGTCAATCACAGCAGTTCTTTTCCTGAAGCTCAGCAGCGTCACAGACACTGCCTAGTGGGGCCCTGGAACAGTTCTGGACTTCTCCTCATCTGTCAAATGGAGGGGTTGGCCTAGGTTTAGATAATTTCTAAATTATCTTCCAACTTCAAATATATGTTTTTCTTACTTGTGCTGGACTCAAGAACTTTAAAATATGTGCTGAGCTGTTTTCTGAGTTTCTAATTAGCCAAGAAAATGCTCTTAACTGTGAACCAAATGTGGGAGCATCAAGAGCAAAATAGAACGGGTAGGAGGGGGGTGGGTGCTGCCCTTTCTTGGCCCATAGGATGATTTTCTGGTGAATAGAAAATGTGCCCCCCTTGGGTGGAAGTGCCTCTCAGGCACATGGCTTAGTGGGCCAACAGCTCCCTTTGGGAATTAGGAGCAGACATCTCTTCCTCTGGGCAGGACTCTGCTTGGTGCGTGAAGCCCCACCAACTCCTCAACCAAGCCCTGTGGGCAGGGCACCACCTGCACAGCCCACCTGAAGACCAGTGGGATTGGCATTGTGCCCACAAATAGAACCTACAACACCTAAGCAGGAACCTTATTTTTTGTGTTCTCTAAACTCTCTTACCTAAAAATAAGCAAGCAAACAAAGAAACACCTTGGTGCCTGGTGAATAGAGATTGCTTGAATTACAACACATGGCTGTCTCACATCACAGAAAAAGCATGTTTTGTGAGTAGGTCTGGAAGAATGTTAGCCTGGATTCTCTCAGGAAGCAGAGCCTAAGAAAAGAGGGTGATGCAGATTGTTTATTTGGGAAACATAGGCACCAGGAATGGGAGGCTATGAGATGTCAAACAAGAAGGAGGGAAAGCCCATCCAAGGTGCTTTATTGAGCTGGTCCCTCATGTGATCAAATGGGGCTCCATCCTGCTTGCACTTTTGAGGACTTTCCCCTCATGGAGTGAAAGAGGATCATTTCCTAGCTCCTGACACCAATTGGTCAAGTGTTGCCCCTGGGGTGTGAACCTCAAACATCCAGGTGTGCTCACCTGCCAGGATGGTTAAGTTGATGGTGGTGACAGCAGAGGCACTGGGTCAAGGAAAGCAAACCCATGTCTGTTTCTGGCAAGACTGAGTCACTGTCTCCTCTGGGATAGAGGGCATCTGATGGAAAAACCTAACACTGAGTGATTGGCTGGTCTCCTTAAGGGATGTGTGCCCTATAGTGGGTTGGTTCTGTGTCCATGTCTCTGGTGACAGGCACACGTTCAGTAAAACAGTTGCTAGACTGGTCTTGGTGAGATGGCAGTCATGCTGTTGAGGCCATGCAGACCCTCTGTCCATCATGCAAGTCCTGGAGCAGCTAGAGTGAGAGGCTGGCCAGCATCCCCAGGACATCCCATGCACCCAGTGGTTCTCTGCCACAGTGGCAGAGGAGGTACTCTGGTGGGCCGGGAAGTGAGACCAAGATCCAGGTGCTATGTGCGCAGTACCATAGGGCCATCTACGTGGTTTTCTCCACACTTTATCTCCTTGTCTCCAGATTTCAGGTTTGTTCTTCTACAGCTTCTGACCCAACCACCAAGCCATTCTCCACTGCCCATGGGTTCAGATACACTCTTAACTCAAACCACTTCTCCCTCCCTACAAAGTGAATTAGTAAGCACATTGTTCACCTCTCTGCTCACTGGGAGGAGTGATCTTCTCTATCCTTCAGGGACACCCTACGGGGGGCTGTAGTCTGGTCATGGTCCAGTATTTTCTAGCACCAACTTGTCAAGAAAACCTATGTATGAACTTGGCCCATCTTTTTCTCATTGGTTTTTTTTAGGGGGGTGTAAGGTCTTAGGTATGAACTGAGGAAGAGAGGTAGATAAGACAGGAATCCGAGGCAGAACTTACTGTGCCCTGGTCCAATCCCATAAACTGCTTCCACTGTATGATGCATTACTGTTGTGCCACCCAGCTCACAATGTGTAGTTCTGGCCACATGGTCACTTGATGTTCCATAGTCAGAAGATTCATGTCTACCAGGGGTCAGGAACTGTTTTTCAACTGGTTTATAGTTTTTGGCTGCAGAAGGGAGGTCTGGCTCTAGAAATCTAGGACCTGTGATACAACTCTTTATGACTGGGCTTGACAGAGATAACACATATACATTTTCATTTATAATAAATAGCACCACTAGATCTGTTGGTCATATGGCCTGAGTGACAGGGCCACTTATGCTACCGTGGGATCTGCTGCAGATACTTAAAAGTCACAGCCTTCCAAGTCACCCAATAAATGGGGCAGAGCAGTATTCCCAAAGTAGCATATGCTGTCTCTAATTTTAAACATTTTTAGTGGTTTGAAAATATCTCCAAATTCTTTGACACTCCTACCATCAAGAGATGGGGTCCATGTCCCCTCTTCTGGCGTCTGGCTAGGGTTTTTACTAATAAAAGAGGGCAGAAGATATACTGTGTGACTTGGGAGGCTGGGTCATTAAAGGTCATGTAGCTTCTCCCTCATTCATTAGGACATTTGCTCTTCCAGCTATCCTGAAGCATGTTGTGAAGAAGTCCAAGCCACATGGTGAGGGAAGCCCAAGCCATCTGTTGATGCTCCAACACATTGTCTTCACTGAGCCTTACCTTCAAGCTACCCAGCCCAGCACTGGAAATACAGGTGAAGATGAATCTGTAAGATTTCAGCCAGTCTGAGTCACCCCCAGCCATTTGAGTTTCCCCATCTAAGACTACAGGCAGCCTTTTTCAACCTGCTTCCTCATCTGAGCCACAGAAGGTAGAAAATGGGTTGAGTGACTATTTTTTCAGTTCTCCCAAGTATGGTACATAACTAGTACCATTCTAGATACACAGGAGAGAAATTAGTTCATTACATATAATTGAATGTCTTAGGGCATTAGGACTTAATTCTGTCATAGAGCCCCAGTTTTGGAAAGCTGACAAAAATCAAAAAGAGAAGATATTACTGATGTGTCCTGTCCAAATTCCTGACCCACATCACCAAGTTTTGGGTTGGTTTGTTATGGAGCAATAGATAACTGGGATAAGGTACAAGATCTAACATCTTGCCGTTTACCTCAAAGATGTTGTACCAGCACACCCAGATCACTGGACTCCTAAAAATGTCACTAATGTTGCAGGTTAGGGAATATGCACCAGAGAGTTTCATTTCTCTGACATACAACTTGGTATTTCTGTTTACCAGGTTAAATTTGCATGATGTCCTTAATAGTGTTCCAGCATGCCTGTGGAATACCAAGACTTAAGATCCCTGAAGACTATTTTGTGACATTGCACAAGAGGCTTATCATAGCCTTAAGCAAGACTTTAAATGTGTACTGATGTCCTCTTTAGTTAAATGAGACTTGCTTTTTATCCTGTTTATTGATGAGGGGTTCAAAAGTACATATTCGTGAGATCAATAACAACATACAGAGTGCCAGAGGCTGTGTTGAACTGTTTTAATAAAGATATCAGGTCTAGCTCAGCAACTGAGATTGGGGTTGACACTTGGTTAAGTTTATGGTAGTCCAGTCTCATCCACCATGATCTGACAGTTTATTTTTTCAAGGGCCATACAGGTGATTTATAGAGGAATGTGATGGAGACAATCATCCTTACACACTTTGTCTTTGATGGCGGCACCCATTCTCTTTCAGGAAGCAGTGTTGACTTGGGTGTCCTCTCTTCACTGGTGGGATTGCAGAGGGATATTAAGAGGTTTCCACTTGCCCCTTCCTACCCTAGACTTTACTCTGCAGGGCATGGAACTAGTGTGAGGATTCTGCCATCCACTTTGTTTATCCATCCAAATTATGTACTTGGGGAGTGGGGAAATAATGGCAAGTTGGGTCAATGGACCTATAGGATCTACTTGAAGGTGTGCTTGTGCCAGCAATCAACTTTTTTTTTCTCCAATTTTATGTCAAGCACCACCTTAGTTGGCTGGGATATCTGTCTCATCATTGGGAACACTCTGGTTTTTAGCCACTGCCACAGATGCCTGAGGGGCAAAGCATATTCCAACCTTTTTACCCATATAGTAATCATATACCTTCTACTATCACTTAAGAATTGCCAACTGGCCTCTGACATTCCAGAATCATATGTTGACTGATGCTAAAGAGCCCAGACCTATGGCAGCATTCCCCCTATCAACCCAGCTTATAGAGGACAGCCATCACTGGAGTTTCTCAAAAGATGCCAGTGCATTTCTTAATGCTGTAGTCAAAGGAACGTAACTCTGAGACTTTCTAGGGAATATAGACAGATGGAGAGTTCTCTGATCTCACTAATAAATACATTAACATTTCCATCCCCCCTCCTTGGCCTTTCCTCAATAGTCTGCCAATGTCATTCTCACAACTCTACCTTACTTACTGTAATCCATTGTCTTATCCAAGCTTCAAAGAGGCACGCCAGTAGTGCGTTATGACTGGATCCTGATATTTTTGCCAGGATGTTAAATCCTGAGTCAAGGAAGAATGCTCCTGTGTCAATGGATTCTTCCCATCTGCCTTTATATTCAGGCCTCATTTGTACTTAAGATGTACTTCCATGCATGTTTTCTGGTTTCTTCCAGTTTCTACTTGTCATGTCTTGCAAGTCTTCTGGTATACAGGATCAGGCATTACATTTCCTGAATCAGGTTGTGCTAAGACCCGATTACAGTTATTGGTAATGAGAGGAGGGCAAGGTCAAATCTTGAGGAAGACAAGCAACATCTTCTAAAGCACCTGCTTCAGATGAGACCTTAGCAGCATTTCAACATAATGGGAGCCTGTTTTACCCTGGAAAGGGGTATATAGTATTTTTCTTTTGAGTCCAGAGTAGATGATAAGATCTGTTTTTTTGCCATCTGTCATTCGTCCAATTTCCTCTATTCCTGCCTTTATTTAGGCTGAGTATTTTTATGATACCATTTGAAAACCCTTATTGTCTTCTTAACTAAAACTCTTTGTTTTGTTATACTGTACTTAACATATAGCTTATGAACCTTAAAATAGGATTCATCTATTTCTTCCCTCCAAGGCTTTGTGCTATTTTTGTAATACATTTCCTTTATGTATATAATAAACCTTATTTTACATTAATTTTTTGTTTAAACAATTATCTTTCAGAGAGATTTAACTAATTTTTAAAACTCTTAAATACTTAACCTATGTTACAACCATTCCCAGTGCTCTTTAGTCCTTTGTGTGGATCCAGAGTTCCATCTGGTATCATTTTTCATTCTGCCTGAAGGATTTTCTTTAATAATTTGTTGTAGCTTGGATCTGCTGGTGACAAATTCTTTCTTCTTTTGTATTTCTAAAAAGTATTTTGTTTTCATTTCTGAATAGTATTTTCACTGGGTGTAGAATTCTAGGTTGACAGTTTTTCATCTTTAAAGCTATTGCTCACTGTTATCTGACTGCATTATTTCTGATGAGAAACTACTGCCATTCTTTTGTTGTTATTGTTCCTCTGCACATAACATGCCTTTTTCCTATGACTGCTTTTGAGATTTTCTCTTTACCTGTTGGTTTGCACAATTTGTTTATGCCATTCTTTATGCTTCACATGCTTGGGATTCAATTCTTTTTCCATTGCCTGACCTTTTCTCCTTGTAGACACTCAAAATTCCATGGCATGGATTTAATAAGATATTGGACATTGTGGGTAAAATATATTTAAGAACTTTAAGAAATAGCAGTAGATACTATGTCCAATTAAACACAGAGAGAAAAAAAGAATGAAAATAAAAATGGAGGTTCACTGATCCTTAGAACAAAGATTGTAGTTTTCAAATTGTAGGAGTCCAATTTGGGTCTTTTAAATATTTTCCATCTTTGTAATTCACTAGTTGACCACCTGCAATACAATTTAATAATTATTTTAATATCCCTGTTAATTCTAACATCTATGTCAGTTGTGGGTTGGTTTTTATTAGTTGTTACTTCTCATTATTGGTCATATTTTCCTGCTTCTTGCATAGCTGGTCATTTCTTACTGGATGCCATACTTTGTGGGTTTTGCTTTGCTGGTGCTGGCTATTTGTGTTCCTATAAATATTCCTGAGCTTTGTTGTGGGATGCAGTTAAATTGCTTGTAAACAGTTTGCTCCTTTTGAGTCTTGTTTATAAGATCTGTTAGGTGGAACCAACTGTGTTTATTCTAGGGTGAATTATTTTTCATCACTGAGAAAAGAATCTTGTGCGTACCTACCCAGTGCCCCATGAATTGTGAGGGTTTTCAGCCTGGCTGGTGGAAACAGGTATTATTCATGGTCCTGCTCCCTCTAGTTTTTTGGGGTGGTAACTTCCTCATTGGGTAGCATTCTTACAGGCATTACTTGAACAGTACTCTACTGAATACTCAAGCAAGACCCTCTGTAGGTGTCTGGTAGTCTTTTCTGTGCAGTTCTCTCCTCTTCAGTAGTCTTTCCTGAAAACTCTAGTTGTCTTGGTCATCAGGAATCATCCCATATTTTCACAGGGAGTCCACTGAACTCCTGTGCCTAGATTCCCTGTCCCTGCATGGAGGCCTAAGAACTCTCTCAAGGCAGTAAGCTTTTGCAGGGCTTCTTTAATAAGGGCAGTTGTTTGTTTCCCATCTCTTGGGAGTCATTGTTTTTGGGAGTTGCTTGATACCCAGTGTCTTAAAAACTGTCATTGCAAGTTTTTGTTCATTGTTTTGGTTGTTCCAGGGAGGAGGGAAAGTCCAGTCCCTCTTATTCCATATTAGCTAGTAGTGGAGTCTCTGTCTTTAAAATATCCAATACTACATTTGACCTGTCACTTGTAGAACATTTCAAAGATCTTGAGTGTAGATACCAAGCTGAACTAATCTTTGTAACCCTAGATGACTGACATAGGACCTTGTATCTAGCAGGTGCTTGGTAAATGGTTGGTAAATTGAATTGCAGTAGGGCTAACAGGTGAAAATTTCCCAAAAGGCTATTTTTTGGTTTATGCGAGAAAGAAATATCTAACCTAAGAGTTCCATAATGGAAAATTTTAAAAGAAGTGGTGATCTTTACATTGTGGGAAGTGTTCAAGCAGAATGAGGGTGCTCATTCACTAGGAATCAGCATTCTATATTGTCCAGAGAAAGCAGTTTTCTGTTATCTCCTCTCAGTCTTATTCTATGCCAAATATGAGACACTATAAAAATAATTATTAAGTCTCTTTCTCTAGATTAATTAAGTAATTATGAATGACTCTCTCTCAAGATTAATTATAAAAAAGATATTCCCTTCTAAACTTTTCTATGGTGATACTCTTTATTATCTACAGAACATCAGATAACAAGGAAGCCTGGATACTATTATCCCCAACTGGCTGATTGAGAATAGAAAAACATGGGGCTTAGGGGACTTGATTTAAGCTACACAGTCAATTATAGAACCAAGCCAAGAACACAGTCCCCTCAATTCAGACAGCATGCTTTCCCTTTGGCTATGCTGCCTCAGAATACCAAAGGTGATTTAAATAGCCCAATTCTTATTTTTTTAATGTGGCTTTTAAAAAGTAGGCAGGAACATAAATAGTGGAACAACTGTAGGATTCAGATAACATGGCATGTGTTCTCATCATAAAAAATAAGACTGAATTTGGAGTTGTTCTGCAGCAGAGGTTAAACAATAAGAGAATGGAGTAGGGATCCCCAAGGTCTTGA